TCAAAATGGCCGAAGCCCTGGATTTAGATAAGAAGGTGGATGCTATTGAGACTTGCGAAGAAGAAACACCTGCTGTAAGGTGTCTGTTATTGTGTGTTTATCAGAGCTGTCAACTCTCCAACATTAAGAGACAAAACGTACGTGGTAGGTGACACTTTAAATTCACACATTTCTCTTTGTTGTACAATGAGAACAAATAATAACTGATAACGCCGAGGCGCAAGCGGAAGACACGGAGGAACGGAGAATCACTGTGAAAGATAACACCTAATTCAGTTTAAGCAAACTGCTTCTTCAGTATTCAATTCATTGCCGGCATGGATTCAAATTAATATGTTTGCAAATAACATTGTGCACTGTGTGTGTGTGTGTGTGTGTGTGGTGTGTGTGTGTGTGTGTGTGTGTGTGGGGTGTGTGTGTGTGTGTGTGTGTGTGTGTGTGTGGTGTGTGTGTGTGTGTGAGATCTGATACTAACCCTGCAGTTACTGAGCTCCTCGGCTGTGAAGATGATGCTTCCACATTTCTTCCCAGGTATCCCACTGAGAGAGAGAGATAGAGAGGGATCATTAATAGTTTTCAGGTCAAGTCTAACTCTTGAAAAAGTTGGAAAGCCTTTATCATCCACTTTATAATTCCTTGTAGCTCTCCGAATCACTCCACCTTACAACACGACTCAGGGATTTTGTCCGTCCCGTTGAAGCCGTTCTGTTATGCGGTGTTATGATATGTCTGTATCAGTTTTGTTTTATGAATTGTGGACAGACATGAGTCTGCTTTAGGCAAGGGTCAAAACTGATGTCACTCCTTTCGGGTGTTTGTTGCCTTTGACTGTTATTAACAGCTGTGTGAGATATATAGTTAGACTCTGGGAGCTGGATTGACCCGCCATGAGGAAGACACTAGGTTGAGAACATTTGGGGCTAAAAAAAACGTTTATCTCATGTTTTTATATGTACAAACTGCTGGGGCACGAACAACTTAGATATTGAGATATAGCCTAATTGTATATAGGCTGTAGGCTATCCATGGTTCTGACGGCAACAGCTAGCTGATCGTTTCATACGAAGAGGAGAGCGAGCGGAGAGGGGGGGGGGGGGGCGGCCTGTTGTGATTGTGTGAGAGAGGGAGAGATGTGAGCGACAAATGGCATACTGTCGGAAGCAGTGAATTAACGACACAGATTAAAACTGTCGGTGCATACATTTACTTTACCTCCAGTTTTTCTAAGTAATCGTCTCAAATTTGAGCTCCAGATGGTCAACTTCATTCATTTCTTTTTTATTATTTACTGCTGGCGCTGGTTATGTAAAAAACAGCCTGCATCCCAGCTCTCTATAGGGTTCATGTATTTGCTAGAAAAGGTGTTGGCAGCTCATTCCTAAAAGCAAAGCCTCAGATTGATTATAATAAGGGAAAATAAGAAGGGTATACTTCAAGACTTGTATGCAAATCGTTTGTTTATCAACTAAGATTTGTTAGAACAAGTTTTCAACTTGAATTGACTGAATTTATTTGAAAAGTGGGCTTATTAACACATGAATACTACTGTATAATGTATGTCTACATATATATTTAGGACGTACAACATTTTACATTTGTTAGCAAGGGACTGACTGGCACTGTAAAACAGACCTGGACTCTGAGCCAGCCCAGCCAACTATTGGTGTCATCGCCATGGATACTCAAGAGCTGCAGAAGGGGTCTTAAAATGCCTTAATCTTTCAAAAAGATATCTTTACCTGGCAAGTAAGAACCAAACATTTGCAATAGGGCTGTCGACCTTTGTTGCATGTCAGTGTACAACTTGAAATGTCATGTTTAATTCAATGAAAAACCAACAGGTCTGATGATCTGTACCCGAGGAGACGCTCGACCCCAGTGAGCTGGTCAGGGGCCAAATCAGTGCTGCGAGTCAACAGAACCTTCCCCACCAGACAGGAATGGTTTTATTCGCCCAGAGGAAGTCTAGTTACATTTTGCCGTCTAATGCAACGTTACAGTATAAAGGCACTTACGGGCTTGCAGGCCATCCAGGCTTCAGGATCTATTACAAACTGGGTTTAGCACTGAAGCCTAAAAAACATCCTGAAGCTGTGTTGGGATTAACATGCCTGCTTGGATTCATGGGTTTTTCGGCATCTGTGACACATGAAGGCACAAACACACCTATGACACATGAAGGCACAAACACACCTATGACACATGAAGGCACAAA